ATACTTCAAGGTGCTGTCAGAACAAAAAGTTCCTCCTTGGATAGCAGTGGTGGGTTTAAACTTGTTTTCTCTTGATTATCCAGAAGGCAGCCATCTTCTTTGGTTGTTCTTGTACATTCTTTTTCTAGTCAGCTAGATTCTATTCTGTTTTTTCTGCTCATTAAGTTAGCTGATATGCAGGCTCCGGGTACCTCCTCTGGCTTTCATCACAACTCCATAAGGGAGGCATTATACCCCTGTACTGAAGAAACTGAGGAATGATGTGCACTATATTCTTGGTAGCTTCTTTCCAAACCAGAATTTGGGAAGTGGCCCATGGATTTTTTGTGCTTTTGGATACTGAGTTTTCTGGGGCATTTGGATAGATTATAGGACAATGGAACAATCTATAAATTTAGTTGTATTCTAGAAGAGCAAGGACAGAAGATCCCCACTCTCCACAAGTCCCAGTCTCACAGATTATGCTGAACAGCGGTAAACAATTTAGACCAACTTGGGTACGTACGACAGGAAGCTTCCTCTTGGCTATTTCTACAACTTCACATTGAATGGAAGGAAATCACTTAAGCCCTCAAAACACTGTCGACAGGAGGTAAAATGCCTTGCTTGGTTTCCTGCCCCATCCCTCTCACACCCACAGCTAGAACCATGTGGCCCTCTTTTCTGCTCCCAGGCTTGAGACCCTCCCTGCTCTCCATCTGCCTAAGTTCATTATTTCCACCTATAAACTCCGAACTGTGAACCCTTCTTTGTAGGAAACATAGTCTGGCTTCCCAGGTGAAACAGGCACAAAATCAACAACTTAATGTGCATCTATTTCCAATCATTTGTAGAGGAGAAATGTGCTCTGGGAACTTTCATTCTTAGATTCCAGTGAATTAGGTATTATTAGATCCTTGCCCAGAACCAGTAAGACAGGAAATGTGCTCACAGGACTTCCCTGTAAAAGAAGTAAAGGAATCTGCCATCTTATGCTTACACATCTTGGACTGACACACTGGACCGCAATCAAGCCTGCCAATTACGCCTTTATCCTTCAGAACAGGCCAGGTTTGTTTCATAGTGACATCTTAGTTTTCACTTTTTTCAATGCAGAGCACTTTATTTGTTTTTTGTTTGTATGTTTGTTTTTTGAGTTGAAGTCTCACTCCGTCACCCAGGCTAGAGCACAGTGGGGTATGATCACAGTTTCCGTAGCCTCAACCTGCTGGGCTCTGGAGATCCTTCCACCTCAGCCTTCCAAGTAGCTGGAACTACAGGCGCATGCCATCATGCCAGGCTAATTTTTAATTATTTATTTATTGTAGAGATGAGGTCTTGCCATGTTGCCCAGGCTTGAACTCCTGGGCTCAGGCAATCCTCCTGCCTTGGCCTCCCAAAGTGCTGGGATTACAGGCATAAGCCACTATGCCTAGCCCAGAACACTTTATTTGTATATTAAACATGTAGAAATGCATTCTTCCCCATCTTTCTTTGAACATGGTCTTCTCTCTCTATATCTTTGTTTACCCATTTTTAGCAGGAACACGAGCATTCAATCTATTCAACTTTTCTCTTTCTTACAAGCAAAGCACAGCACCTGTGTGATAATAAGAGATAATTGATTCTTAGTCTTGGTATTGGGAGCAATAGGGGACAGTGATGACTATGGCAGCAGTTCTTAGCCAGTGCCAATCAATTACTGGCACAGGGAATGCAGGCCCTTTGCCTGGTTCTGCAATATTTAAAAAAAAAGCCATACATCTGGATTTTAATGTGCATTTTAAAAATTATCCAATATCATTAACGAATTTAATTTGAGGATGACACCCAGTGGGCCATATAAAACATGTTTGTGGGCAGCCAAATTGAGCCCATGGCCACCACAAGCTCTGGTTTTAACTGTCAAAAAGAACCACTGAACTACTATGAAGTTAAAGTTGATGTGGTTTTTCTATGCAGTATAGAAATATGGTTCTAAGAAAGTTGATTTTATCCCTAGTTGATGTGGTACTTTATAAGCAATAGAGAAATAGGGAATTGAGAAAGCAAATTCTCTATGGTTAGTGACTCATAATAAAATAAGGTTATGCCTGTCACAGAGTGGCCATAAGTGAGAGAGAATTCCCTCTCACAGAGAATGCGAACAAATTGGGAAGGGAACCTCAGGTGGGCAATTTTGTTAGAATGTATTTTGCTTTATGTGTCAACTCCACGTGGGGCCATCCTTACTCTGGAGCTGCTCTGGCTGCTGGAGTCTAGGTCCCTTGAGAGCTTCATCTAGGGTCTTGCCTCTCTTTCCAGTTGGTTTCTTCCTCAGGCTGAAGCTCTGATGATAAGAGTATCCACTACCACCAATAATAGACGCCAACATCCAATAAACGTTGTCCTCTGTCAGGTGCTCTTGATAAAAGCTTTATACTTCACTTGAATCTTCCTAATAACCTAGGAGGAAGGAAACTTTCTCATGCCACTTAACAGATTTACCCATGTTTCTTATAGCTCATAAATTACAGAGCCAGAATTAATCCAGGGAGCATGACCCCAGAGCCCAAGCTCAAAATTCCTGCCTTCTCTGCTACTTCTTATTTGTAAAGGAGTCTGTCTTCTCCAGCGTCAGGGAGCTCACAAAGTGATTTGTAAGGAACTTCTGACTCTGCGTGAACTCTGCAACACTGGAAGACCTTGCCCAATCCCTCCTCTAATGTCTCCCTCTTGGGCAGTCTGTCACTCCCTGAGTAGGTGACTTGGTAAATCGGATGCTTTTTCTGGGCCTCAGTTTCTCCACCAATAAAGCTGGGAAAGGAGAGAGATGGTTCAATCAAGTTTCTTAGGGCTCTGTCCATAGTAAATGTTTGGGGATTCCAAAATGCTCAGGAAACACCAGTGGTTTCAAGGCCATGTGCACACCCATCAGCTGGCCTGCCATTAAAAGTTTCAGCACTCCAGCACCACCCTGATGACTGGTCCCCTCTCCGGCCCCAGTAGGTTCTTATCCATTTACTGCTTGGGCATACGTCCCTCTGAGCACTGCCTTCCTTTCTTGTTGCTTCTCAAGCCATCAACCAACCCCAGAGCCAGGGTCAGACCTCACTTCCACCTTGAAGCCTCGGCTGCCTTTCCCAGTCCATGCTGGTTCCTCCCTTTTCTGAACACTGTTTGCATTAATCCTAGACACGATCCCTCATGTCTGTATAGCACCTTATAGCAGACAGAGCACTGTGGTGCCCAAGTCATCCCATCGAGAGACTCACAGCCACCACCCAGACCAGGATCATTGTGTCTATGACACAGATGAAGGAAAACATCAGACCAAGGGTATGATTTGCCCAACTTCACTCTGCAGCCAGAACCAGAACTAGACTGACACTCAGGCTTCTGATCCCCAGGCCAGGGTCGGTGCCTCCTTTGGGCCCTCATTGCCCGGGCTGGCATTAACTCTTTCATGCCAGAGTGCTCTGTTGCCTCCAGGGCAGTTTTGCTCTTGGGAGTAGGGAGCCGGTCTTGTTCCCTGGCAGGCAGCATGGCCGAGTGGTGAGGATCATGGCTGTCGGCATCTGCCATGCACCAGCCCTGGGCATGAACCTCAGCTTCCTCATCTGTGGAATGAGGATCATGCCAGTACCTCCTTTCCAAGACTGTTGTGGAGATTAAATGAGAGAACACAGGTAAAGCATCCAGCAAGGGGACGGCAACATAACTGTACCCAGCAAATGCTAGCTGCTGTCTCTATCCCCTGCCATCTCCTCTGTCCTGTCCTCTAGAGAGTGGTACTGAATGAAACCCAGGAACAGACCATGGACAAGGCCCACTGTGGCTACTCGGTGCCTCAGGAAGAGAGGGTTCTGGTGTTAGCCTGACACTGAAACTGTCCAGGTTTCTGCCTATTCCTGCGTGCCTCCTCTCACCCGAAGATCTCATGCTCCTGTGCCTGGTGGGACTCTTTAATACTAAAAAGCCACTGTCTGAGGATTTGCCCAGTGCCCTGTGCTAAGCTCTGCACGGGTGGGTTAGTCTGCCCTGCATCTGTCACTCCCACTGAGGGCTTTTGGAGGCTGAGACTGGCTCATGACCCCCCTATATCATCACAGGGCCTGGTGTGGTGGCTCACTCAATGTTTATTAGCATCTGCTACTTCTTGAGCTGTTTTAGGTAGAGAATAAAGCAAAGCTATATTCCTGCCCTCCTGGAGCTTGCATTCTGGTGAAGGGGACAGCAAGGTATAAAGAAGAAAGTCCTGGAATACCAGAATCATTAAAAAAGGTTGTTTTTTTTTAAAAAAAAAAAACCAAAATCTTTTGTTTTGTTTTGTTTTTGAGACGAGGTCTCACTGTGTTACCCAGCTTGGTCTCCAAATCCTGGTCTCAAGGGATCCTCCCGCCTCGGCCTCCGAAAGTGCCGGGATCACAGGCGCGAGACATTAAAAAAAACTATTAAGATTATCTTTGAGGCATTTAGTTATATGTATCGCTTATCAGGTGTGCTGAGTGGGGCACAGCAGCCAGGAGCTCAGTACAGCTTTGTGATCTTGGGACACTGGCTCCCCTCGCCGAGCCTCGGTCTCCTCATCTGTCATATAAGGAAATCACAGCGATCCCAGCCTTCCTGGGCTGTGGAGAAGGTTCCAAGGGCTGGGCGACTGTGGGAGGTGGGCGCTTTGTCTGCGGGGCAGCCTCGACAGGGACACACTTGAGGCCGAGAGGGAGTCGCGACCCCCTCGCCCAGACCAGCACGGGCGCGGGGCTCTCCTCGAAGCTTACGTAAGGAGGTCCTGGGTGGAGGCAGCCGCGCGGAGCGCCCGTCGGTCGAGGGGAAAGGGGCGTGGGGAGGCCAGGATCGCCGGACCGGAGTGCGCCGCCGCTGTCCGAGGTGGGGCGCAGCGCAGAGCGGCGCGCGGGGGAGCGCAGGGCGCGGCGGAGTCGGATTTCAGAGCGCGGGTGACTCAGGGCGCGGGCCGGGAG